TACCATGCCATAAAAACTGGGAGCAGACTTTCTGTACTTGTTTCAAAACTTTTTTGGGAAGAACAAAAAGCTGCATCCAAAATTGCACTATCCCCATCAGAACAGAGTTCAATAACTGCAATCTACCTGCGAAAGAGAGCTTTTTAACTCGCCAGGACTTGATTCTTTTTGTAATTTTATCAACCAACATAGCCACCTCTTTTGAGGACAACTTCCCAGTGATCAAAGGCAAACCTAAGTATCGAACTGGGAGCTTACCCTCTTGGAACCCTGAAAGCAGAAGAGCAGTAGACTTGTACTTAACAGAATCGCCTCCAAAATAAACCTCGCACTTGGAAGGATTGCATTGGAGTCCAGAGATCCTATAAAACTGTTGTAGCACCTGTTTAACCTGAAGAATGGCTCGAGTTGATCCCTCTGTAAATACAATAATATCACTTGCAAAGCACATGTGATTCAGCTGCACCCTCTTACACTGTGGATGAAAGGGTATTTTCCCCTCCTGACTAGCTTTCATCAACATGGTAGAGAGCCCCTCCATAGCTATTGTAAATAGGTATGGCGATAGGGGGTCCCCCTGTCTAACCCCCTTCCTAGCTCGAAAATAACCACACAAACCACCATTTATATTAATATTATAGTGTACAGTTTGAATGCAACACTTAATCCACTTCAGGAACTGTTCAGGAAAGCCCATAGCACTCATCATAAGGAAAAGATAGTTCCAATTTATAGAATCAAAAGCTTTCATTATGTCGATTTTGATAGCACATCGAGAGGAAAGTCCCTGTCTGTGATATCCACTGACAAGCTCCTGTGCTAGCAAGATGTTGTCCATTATGCTTCTTCCTTTAATGAAAGCTGATTGGGAGGGGCTAATAATAGTTGGTAAAACTTCCTTAAGTCTATTTGAAAGAATCTTAGCCACAATCTTGTATAAAAGGTTCACACAAAATATAGGTCTATAATTCTTAAGGGTATCAGCAGTTGGTATCTTAGGGATTAAAGAAATTACCGTGGAATTCACACCACTAGGAAGCTTACCTTGTTGGAAGAAGTCAGGAATCCCCCTGGTGACATCCTCGCCAATAATATGCAACATTCTTTTATAAAATCCAGCAGAAAATCCATCTGGCCTAGGAGCCTTCTAAGGATTCATTCCAAAAACAACTCGCCTGATCTCATCAGTAGTGACAGGTTGTACAAGAAGGTTCTTCCCCGCATTTGTTATTGCGTGTCTTACCAAATCTGCTACCTCATCTCTACTAGGCCACTTTGATATATTTTTGAAACAAAAAAAGAGTCATTTTTTTTACCATTCTATACCATGGTGGTATTGAAATAAGAGCATACCATATGGTATGAAAAGCATACCATGGTGGTATGAACATACCAAGAGTGTAGGATGGTTGAATACATGATAGTAGGAGTATACTAACTGTCATTTACGACTTTCAACATTGTGTACCACAAGATACCACCCTCATACCAGGGGGTATTGTGTCGTATTTTTTGGTCATGTATTTTGTTCACCCAGAAATTTGTAGATCCAATAAATCATGATGAACTATTTCATTCTGTGCAAAAAAAAAAAAGACTTAAAAATAATGGAGATACCATATGGTATGAGGTTGGTAAAAAGAGACATGAATGGATCTCATTTTGCAGAGCACAACAAACTCGTTCCACCTGTGCAAAAAAAAAAAAAGATTTCCGAGTCAAAACGAAGAAAATAGGAGCTGATTAAGAAAACTAAGGAAAATAAAATGCATTTAATTCTCCACCCTTAGATTTGCAATCCACTTAAAAAGAAGGGGCCAGATTTGATTACTCATGTTAAGCATCCTAAAGTTATGTACTCTATCCAGAGCCGATAATACCTGCCCATTGAAGGAGCAGATCTAGTCAATAATCTTGTGGTCAATAATTGTGCACAACCCAATAAGAATCCACCACATCAGCGCCCCTTCTCTCTCCCGAAAAGGTTTTAATTTTTCCATTAATCTTTAACGGATGATTTCTCACTCGTTTTAAATCGAAATTTAATTTTTCTTGCACAGTTAGATCACATTAATTGTGCTCTTCAAAATGATATCCAATTTGATATATTTTTTGAACAAAAAAAATCGAGTCATTTGTTACCAGTCTATACCATATGATATTGACTGACATTGAAATAAGAGCATACCTATGGTATGAGAAGCGTATCATGGTGGTATGAACAAACCAAGACTGTAGGATGGTTGAATACATGATAGTAGAAGTATATTAACTGTCATTTATGACTTTTAACATTCTGTACCACAAGATACCACCCCATACTATTTGGTATTTTTTGGTCTTGTATTTTGTTCACCCAGAAATTTGTAGATCCAATAGATCATGATAAACTCGTTTCTTCTGTGCAAAAAATTTCAAAAACAAATTAAAAGCGAAGAAGATATCATATAATATGTAGTTGGTACCAAGAGACACAAAAAAAAGTTTCTAAAAAAATTGAAAATAGATCTCATTTTGTAGAGCACAACGAACTTGTTCCTATGAAAAAAAATTTGAAATCTGAGTTAAACAAAGAAGATATGAATCAATTAAGAAAACAAGGATATAATAAAAATATTTTTAATTCTCGACCCTCGGATCTGAATTTTCTAAATTAAGCAAGGTTGTTAAACCCCTAACGAACCCCCCGATTGGACCCCGTCCGACCCTAGTCGAGCTTCAAAACAGGTTTCAGAAAGCCCCGGTCTGACCCCTAAAAGAGGGAGAAGAAGTAGGCTTGTCAATGGGTAGGCCTATTGGGTTTTTTGACCCAAATACCTTGACCCATATGGGTATTGGGTTTGGACCCAAATGGACCCAAATTTCTTTTTACTTTTTTGGGTTGGGTTGGGTTTAGATTGGGTCTAGAATTGGCATGTATATTTGGGCCGACCCAAATGGGTCCATTTGGGTATAAGTTAGATTTTGGTAAGTTGAAAGTCCTGCTTATTAGAAAACAGACCCAAATAATATTTCTAAGTTTTAGTCGTGTTTACATCATAGAATAGGAGTGAATCAGTAGAGATAGTAGCAAACAGGAAACATTCAAAGCAGGTACAAGTTGGGAGAAATGTAACCCGCTACAGAGAGAACAGCAAAACCAAAAGTAGAATCATGTCCATCTCAAGTAATCCAGACCACAAGCACCTAATATATCACCCTTTGTCAAGCCAATAAACCATAGAAGCTGGTTGCATTGTTGTCGCTAATTAGTACATAGATTGAGATCCAACAAACATTAATAGTTAGATGGATATGCATAGCTCTCATCATCACCACATTATCTCCTTCTTTTTCTGCTACCATTGCCTTTGAAGGGAGGAATATAGTAGTACATTGGTTCACCCACCTGACAGTCTGCATTGTTCTTCTTGGGTCCCTTTTCTATTTTTAAAAACCCTGCATTATGATTGTCACTCTGCCCATTGAATTTGGAACAAATCATGTATTTATGTCTGGTCTGCCTGATTCCTTGACCCTTTCCTCTCAACTAAAAGGGAAGAATAGGGAATTTGGCAGTCAGTCTACACGTTTTGGTGTTCATGTCTATTTTTCTATTGTGCACATGAAATTTAACTCTGACAATACATGTTTTCCAGTGGGGGTTAGATTAGTACATAGATTGAGCTCACGTTTTGGGGTAATTTTAAGTAAGTAGAAATGGAGGGGTTGCCCTGTCCTGTGAATGGAAGGAGGAAGGAGGGGCTCTGGTTTTCTTATATACCTATAGCAGCAAGCAAAGTTATGGAGAATATTTGCAGATGGATCCCAACAAACAGAGTTAACTGGGCTTTTATGACCCTATAGCAGCAAGCAACAAAGAATATTTGCAGAAGAATAACCCATCAAGACTAGGAATCCACGACTTAAACAACATAAACCTGGGGTCGCTAACCATTAAACTCAAGGAGACACAAGTGTCAAACCTGTAATTGCCCAGATTCAATTGCCAACACCGACCCAGATTGTGCAGCGAAGCTTCCTCTCGCCGCGAAGATTGTGCCGCGAAGCTTCCTCTAGCCGCGAAGCTTCCTCTCGCCGTTGCGAACGCAAACCCAGAACCAATATACCCTGGAGATCGAGATCAGCACGAGAAGAGCGAGAGGTGGGTTTCTTCCACAGCCTCGGGGTTCGATGGTGGGGAAAAGGAGAAGCTGCCGGCGTCGGGGCCGATGGTCGCTGATCGAGAATCAGGATTACAGGCCGGCGGCGTCTTCGGGGCTGATGGTCACTGATCAAGAATCGGATGCAGGCGGGCGGCGGCGACGGGATACGATGGTGAAGAAGCCAAGCAATTGCTCTCGTTCAGCGTATTAGGTCGAAGGATGAAGAGACCCGTTTGGGTTCTGTAGAATTTTTTTTTATTAATTTTCTGGGCCTATCTTGGACCCAATTTAATTGGATGGGTATGGGTCTGCTCCAAAACAGAAAAACCCAAAACCTGATTTGATCCAAATTCTATTGGGTTTGGGTAAAACTCATACCCTAAGACCCATTTGACATGCCTAAGAAGAAGAGAGGGGGAAGAGAGGAAGAGGAACGGAGGAAGGGAGATGGTAGGTGGATCATGTAAGTTAGGTAGATTTATTTTGTGGAAAATAAGTTTTTGATAGATATATGTAAGATAAATTTTATTTTAGTCATTGAATCTTTAATTACTATCTTATTTGTACATATATTTAGAAAATGTTTAAAATGGCTCAAACCGGCCGGATCCAGATCAGAACATTAAACCTCAAACTACTTGCTTAACCGGCTCAATGACTTAAACCGGTTTAACAACCTTGAGCTCAGATTTTGAGCCTACCATCGCGTGTGAGATGGAATAATACTGGGTGGGCGGGTTCAAAGTGCCAACCCTACGGAGTCCTCGCTGAACACAAAGAAGAAAGTGGCAGCGCACAAATTTCCTGGAAGCAGAAACCGAGGAGAAGGGCACGAAGTCAGCAGCCGACGGAGGAATGCCTGAAGAAGGGGAGAAAGAGGAGATGGTGACGCCGGGAGAGGTTCTGGGTAAAGCAGCTGATTTGAAGGCTGGGAAAGGAGCTTACGTCGCTCCTTACCGCAGCTCTGAAATCCCGTACGTCTTCTCTTCTCTCACCGGTCTCCGTCATACTCTTACTCCTCCTTCCGACTCTCCCGACCAGGTGCTGTTCCATTCATTCACTGACTACTCTTTTTTCCGCGGTTCACTGGCTTTCCTATGGCTTTGAATTTACGTTTCCCTGCCTTCTAATTTACCCTGTTTCTGAGGTTTCTTGGTCGCCCTTGCTCTTCACACGAACTGTCTGTTCCTTTTTTATCTGTGTGGCCGGGGCTCTAGCATCGTTGGTCCGAGTGATGTTGCTTCGTTGAGCGTTTTTTTTTTCTTCTGTTTGAAGCTCGTTTGTTTTCTAGGGTTTTATCGACTAAAGTTTTGGTAAAGCTCTGTGTGAAATTATTCTTGAGAGTTGTAGAGTCAAAATATGTAAGTACTGAAACCTTATTTCGACAATGTGACTAAACATGCCACGTGAAGAAGAACCCTCATCTGAATTACAACATTCTGGGGTCTGTTGATTGATGATGTTAAGCCATTGCAGAGACCAACGGTGGAGGTGATTGGACACAAAGCCCGTGGTGCTGTTCCGGAGGCTGGTTCTGTTGTCATTGCTCGAGTATGTATTTCTTTCTTTCTTTCAGATAGTCTTTTAGTTGTCCATTCAAATCTATATCTTCTTGGGGTTTGATTGTCAAAACAAACATCATGCTTTGCCTGATATTAAGAGTTCTATGCTTGTCTTCCAGCCTACTTTTGGTTGGGAGACATTGATAAACCTCACTTTTCTTTCTCCTCACAGGTAACGAAAGTAATGGCTAAAACCGCTTCTGCAGATATCATGTGTGTTGGGACGAAGTCTGTCCGGGAGAAATTTACAGGTGTTATAAGGTGAGGAGATTTAATCTCTTTTTGAATTCCAAGTCGGGAAGCATCTGAGGATGTAGTAGATTCTTGTCATGCTGTCCTTGTTTCAGTTGGTTTCGTTTTTGGGTCTACAATATCTAGTATGTGGATGTCTGAGAACCAGAAAGGGACAAATTATAGCTCAGGGCATAAGAATGATGTGAAGTAGGAAACCAGCGGAGCCCTCTGTCATCTCCATGAATAGCCTGGGGATGTTAGCGTGATTATATGGAAACCTGTTATGTATTTTAGGTTCATCAGCCGGGCTGATCTGTATCATACTAGGTTTTTCATTCTAGAATCTCTGATCAGGATTGAGCATATTGGAGAAATTCATTGAATGTTCCTGGCTGGAGTAAGAGCATCTCCATCAATCAGATTTAGCAATTGTTAAAGTTAGGTGTCAGCTAACCTAGGTGGATGTTGGGTTAGCAATCGCCACTTGCTGATACGATTTTGCTCTCTGCTTTCTAATATATAATTCTATTTGATTAATGAAACTCAAGTGCTACCTCCAAGTTTCTGAATGTTTACGATTAGCCTGCCATCCACCATACTCTTACCAATCCAAGTCAAACAATAGTCTGTTTGCTTTTTAACCCCATTTTTGTCCACTACCTTGTTTATACTTCAAAATAGATATTCTTTTCTTTGCTGAAATTCACCATCCTAATAGGCAACAAGATGTACGAGCAACTGAGATAGACAAAGTGGATATGCATCTGTCATTTCGCCCGGGGGATATTGTCAGAGCAGTTGTGGTATCCTTTTCTTCTCTTCGGGTTCTTGCTATTTTCTCAAGGGATCATCATCACTTGACACAGGTGGCAGCTTTAATCATCTTTTTACTGGAAAATAAAAAAAATTTTGGTTTGCCATACGTCCATTGTTTCATTCTTTAACTCTTAACAAGCTTTCCTTGGGAGATGCGCGTGCTTATTATCTTTCAACTGCAAAAAACGAGTTGGGAGTTGTCTCTGCTAACAGCACTGCAGGTAAAGCTTCTTAAGCATTTACGTTTCGTTCAAATGATTTCCAGGAGTAGCTTCATTCCTGCATTTTGATGCAACCATTTGTTTTCTAACCCGTTTACAGGCGAAACCATGGTTCCAATTAGTTGGATGGAGATGCAATGCCCGTTGACACGACAAATAGAGCAAAGAAAGGTAGCTAAAGTTGGAAGTTGATTCCCCTCGCCTTCAGGGAAGGATGAAACAAAGTCCGTAAGTTGCTTTGAGTGCCCCCCTTGGTGAAAATTTTCCTTCAGAGAAGTGCACGTCAATCAATTGATGAGTAGTGATTTTACCAGGGTTTGAATGGAGACGAGAGTTGATGGGTTTTGTTTGTATTTCATTTTGTAATGCACAGTCTAGGATCAATACAATTTGTAGGCCTGTGTTTCAGCTTACCATCATCAATTTAGCGAGTTGAAGTGGCGAGTCAGCTCGTTTTAAACCTCAAAACACCTGGCACAAATCGATGGGTCGCATGACGCATATGTCGTTTCAGCATTGACAAGTTTGTCAAAAGCATTAATACCATCACCGATTTAGCGAGAGAGGCCGGTATCTGCCACAAAAATGTGAGGACTTGCCATTAGAGGGATATAGAGTTTGGTATCCACCGGATTAAGCGAGGCTTGGCATCTGCCTCAGCGAGCAAGTAGTGCAATACTCGGTGATGACTGATGAGTAAAGACCACAATACGTGTGAGTAACACTAACTATAACTCACACTACTATGAGCGTAACTTTTCAAAGACAAATACTATGGCAAGCAAATCCTCTTTTTGCTGTGTTGTAATTTATCTATGCCTCAATAAGGGTAATTCCGTTTTAACATACTATTGCCCCAATGACATTATCGCTAGCATTACACATAAGCTCGACTGACAGGGACTGGTTCGGAGCCAACAGAATATGAGCGTGAGTCGATTTTTTAGAAATTCAAAGGCTAAGTGACGCTTTTCACCGAACTCAAACAGGGTAACATTCTCTGATAGTTATGTTAATGGCTTTACGATTTTGGAGCAATCTTGAATTAATCGCATATAGAAGCTGACATGGCCTAGGATGCTTCACAGACATCAGTGGATGAATATTGGAAATGAATAGAGGTCTGATAGATGGAGAACCTGAACATTAGCTCAAGAATAAAATGACAAAGGCATTAGCTAAACCACGGTCTAAGGGTTCAAAGAATAAGGGTGGGAACATCCTGTCGGTTGGACAAGGTAAATGGAGATCCTTTGAATCCCAATTGCAGAAGCCAACACTACCGTGGGTAGATGTTTCGACTTACAAGACAGAGAATTGACAGATTTCGTTTCTCGCACACTCATACGAAGTAGAACAATAAATCGAAGGAACTATGATAAACTACAATAAAAGAAAGACTAACTAAATACAAGGATAGATTCAGGATATAGTAGATTATTGAGCCTCATTTGAATAGAATATTAGACACTATAAACAAAAACATATAATAACTATATATAGTTTTCATTACAATTCCAATTTTACAAGAAGGTATTTTGATTTTTTTACAAGAAGGTATTTTGATTTTTTTTTTTGACAATAATAGAATCTTTTGATTTACCAAATCCATCAATAATAGAATCTTCATCCTTATCAATAGCATACTCTCTCTCAAATAAAATAACTAAGCAATCAACGAAAAATTCATCGCTCATTTTCTTGCGTAAATAAATTTTCACATGTTCCAATGCTGAAAATTTTCTCTCCGTAGTAGCAGTTGGCACTTGGCAAGATCAACACTAGACAAATCAACCGACAAATAAATAAGTTTGTATTGTGTATCTATCCCTGTTTTCGCCATCTTCTCTAGTAATTTTGCAAGGGAAGAAACTTCATATTCATGACGATTAACCACATGAGTGGCATAATATATTAGCTCATTCTTCAAAGGATGCATCTCACATCCTTCAAAGTCTCAAGCTAACTCTTGACCAAGTTTGTAAATACTTTCTTCATCAAAGACAAGAAAGAACTGTTAGGATCTAGTGCCCACTCAACTGAAACAATCTAAATGATGAATCAACAAGTTAGGATCCAACGCCCGACAGATTGGCGGGGAATTTGTTTTAGGTCCGTTCGTCCCCTCTTTCTTATTTTGTTTTGGGGGGTTGGGGGAATTTTTTGAGTTTTGGGAGGGAAAGGTGAGCTTTAGTTTAGAGGGTTTTTTTATAAATAATTTCAAGGAAACTTTATTTATCCTTTTAGTCTTTTATATATTAGACTTTTAGATTTTTTCCAAATGAAAATCATGGGACTAGAACTTCTAAGCTAAGTTTAGAATAGTGGTTTGGATATGTTCATATGGACCATTTTCTTAGTGACACAAAATCCTATTACCAAATAACATTGGACTGATTGTTAAATAAGATTAGGCCGAATACCTAAAATCGAGAAATTAATAAGTAGTATAGTAGCTCTGAACTAAGAGGAGGACTAGGTCGTGACTAGGGATTGGCCTACCCCAAAATCCACCAGTCACTAAATATTGGGTTCCAATCTTCAATGACATTTAGCGGTCCTTTGGATGAGTTTTTTTGTTGTGGTATAGTATTTGATCACAAATAACTCATTATTTGAGGATGTGGTATTTTGTGGTATTTGAGTTAAATTATCTTGTTTGGATCAACGATTCATATGAGGTATTTAACTTGTGGTATTTGAAATAAAATACCATTTTTCCCTCAATTATTAACACCCATCTATCCTTCCATACACTCTCATTTCCAGGAGAAGAAGAAAAAGCTCCTCTGTTATCCCATACTCTCTTATTCCCAGAGAAAAAAATTGCTCCTCTGTTTTATCTATCCATACCTGCCGTCAGTTTCTGTTCTTTCATTAATTCCCATACCATTAATAGTTTGCCTAATCCTCACCCAACTGCATCCAACGAAACAAGTTACCTCTGCAATCATTCTATTTTCCAGCAATCAGAAGCATGAGAGGAATAAAATAAAATAAAAAAAGCAAACCCCAGAACAATCGAATGCAACCCATCTACAGATCCATGCAACCCCAAATTTAACAAGTATGGAGTCGATACCCAACTCTAGTATCACCGCAGGCGACTTCAGGAAAAGCATAACCTGAAGACTCATTCTATGTTCCTTTCCCTGTATCCCAAATTCACTGTCAACGAAGTTCGGCCACAATAGAAAAAATTGGACTTCGGTGGCAACGAAGAAGGACGAGGAAGATCTTCTAAATACGCAGCAATCGACGGACCTTCGAAATCGTCCTTATCCCAGTTGATGAAGCTGGCAATCATAGTAGCAGCCGCAGTTGATGAATCTGATTTTGATTGGGAGGTATCTAAAACTGCAGTAGCCGTCTTCATCAGCTTCGAAGCCCTTGAATTGCGAATCGTAGGAGGCAGAATATAGGAGGAGGAACGAAAAGCGGGAGAGGAATCGCTCGATGATTCTCCCTGTCGTCGTCGCCGTCGCATGTCTTTCCGATATAAAAGCTTTGATGGTTCAATGCACTCCGCTTTGTTTATCAGCCCTCTGTCACGTGTATGATATTTCATATATTGTTTATATGCGTTTGGTAAGTGTTAGAAACGGAACAACAAGAAGAACGAGGTTACCGAATCTGGAGCTGAGTCGCGGACTAGGTCGCTCTCTTTAAGACGTTCGCGGCACTGCCTTCGATGCGCACGGCAGACTATCAACCGGTCTTCTCCAGGATAAAACAGCTCCTCTCAATACTCGCGGTTTTGTGCGAAAACCGGAGCTCTCTGAACACTCTCTCTATTGTGTTTATGCTCGTTGTGATGTGTTTAGAGGGGCTGGGGAGGCGGCTATTTATAGGAGCCGAACCCCTAGTAATATACCCTCTTGCGTGGGGAATAAGTCGGATTAATTAAGGAAGATAATTACTTCCTTAATTAAAACCGTCGGTTAAGATAAACCCGGAGGGATTATCCTTCGAATATTCCTTTTTCAGTCGATTATCCTTAGAATATTCCTCAGAATAACCGATTAATAATTAATTATTAGATGATTAATAATTAATTACGTTCGGAATTTCTGCAAAAAATATATATGTAGTCTCAAGTGAACCAACCAACCAACCAACAGGCCGGTCGGACGGACGAACGGCGCGCGCGTGTGTGTGGTGGTTCGTTAGGTCCTCCCTCTCCCACAACAGTGGGTCACCCCAAGGGGCATGCTCTTAGGAGAGGCTCCTATCTTTATACCCATTTCACCAAGTAAAACTACCAATGTGGTAGTTTTTCCACTTGAAACTCTATAGCTTTCAAAGCTATTCATATACATTTCCAACAATCCCCCACTTGAATAGTTTTGAAACTATCTCTAAGCATTAATAGTTCCATAAGATCGGGCATAAGCTAAGGTATCGCGAAGATTTGAACCTTAGCGTAGTGGTTACACTTCCGATTTCATAAGGGTGACTCGTAGTCTTGAACCCTATCTCAGACAGTGTAGCACACCAGATATTTTCATTGAGTTGTGTTCTCTTCTTAGCCCGTGCGTTTATGACCATGCACGTTATCCTGGTTTAGTGAACGCTCTAGCAACTTTGTGCCTCCAAAGTTCCATAGGGAGCGGCCCTACTCCCAAATTCACATAGGTGAGTCTATCAGGAGTACCCCCAAAGTAAAGTACTCCACACCACAAAGGGTATAGATCTCATTAAGAGGTATTAACTCAACCTCCATTGCTTTGGGATTCATGCTTCACTATGCATGAACTTTTCGCATACTACTCATGACTTGTTATTACCCATTGAACCCATTTCTTGGGATCTCCAGTCTATTGGGTCGGGTTACCATCACTTGTAGTCCGTGGTTCGGTAGGCATAAGTCCCATACCCTTGGCGGTATTCTGGACTTTCTCTCTAGGTAATCCTTTCGTCAAAGGATCAGCTAGATTCTGTTCGGATCTTATATGATCCACCCTCACTGCTCCTATCGTTAGGAGTTCTCTTACAGTACTGTGCTTACGACGAATCTGTCGTTTCTTTCCGTTATAGAACCGGTTCTCAACTTTAGCGATAGCTGCGGCACTATCACAATGGATCAATAGCGGAGGGACCGGCCTTTCCCATAGGGGAATCTCTGACAACAATCCTCTCAACCAACTTGCTTCTTCACTAGCCGTTGCTAGTGCTATCATCTCTGACTCCATAGTTGATTGAGCTAGGATTGTTTGTTTCTTTGACTTCCAAGACACAGCTCCACCAGCGATGTTAAAAACTTACCCTCTGGTTGCCTTGGAGTCATCTGATAGGGTATTCCAATCCGCATTACTATACCCTTCTAGTACAGCAGGAAACATTTGATAGTTTATACCAAGGTTTGCTGTTCTCTTGAGGTATCTCATGACTCTCTCTATAGCATTCCAATGCTCTCTACTAGGACAGATGTTAAACCTGCCAAGCAATCCCAAGACATATGCAATGTCTGGTCGAGTGTAATCCGCTGCATAACGGAGACTGCCAATGATGCTAGCATATTCTGATTGTCTTACACTGTCTCTAGTGTTCTTAAATAGCTTTACACTAGCATCATACGGAGTACACGCAGGTTTACAGTTGAAATAGTTATATTTCTTCAAGATCTTCTCTATGTAGCTAGATTGATGTAGAGAATAACCATTTGCTGTTCTAGTTATCTGGATTCCAAGCATGAACTTTGCTTCTCCCAGATCTTTCACCTCAAAGCTCTCTTTTACCATGGCTTTTGCTTCATTGACCACGTGAATATTTGTACCAAATATCAACATGTCATCTACATACAAACATATGATAGTGCAAGTGTTATTTTCTGACTTGCAGTAAATACACTTGTCACTTTCATTCACCTTAAAGCCATGTGAGAGAACGAGAGTGTCAAACTTCTCATGCCACTGTTTTGGAGCCTGTTTCAAACCATATAATGATTTGTCTAACTTACAGACTTTCGAGGCATGTTCGGGGATAACAAACCTTTCTGGTTGTTCCATATAGATTTCTTCATCCAGATCTCCGTTCAAAAAAGTGGTCTTAACATCCATTTGGTGTACCACGAGATTGTTCAAGGCAGCAAGAGCAATCATTACACGAATGGATGTTATTCTTGATACTGGTGAATAGGTATCGAAGAAATCTATATTCTCTCTCTGCCTGTAGCCCTTAACTACTAGGCGAGCTCGGAACCTTTCGATTGCACCATCAGGTTTCCGTTTCATTTTTAGAACCCATTTATTACCTAAGACTTTGCAGCCAGGAGGTAAGTCTGTTAGATGCCAAGTCTTATTAGCTTCTAACGATTCCATTTCATCTATAACGGCCTCATTCCAAAAATCTGCATCTACGGAAGTTAATGCTTCCTGCAAACTTTTTGGATCTTCGAGGGTGAATACTGTAGTAAAGTCATCACCAAAATCTTTAGAGATTCTAGATCTTTTACTTCTTCTGAGTTCATCCTCAGAACCAACACCCCCACTAGTTCCGTTATCTCTAATAGCGGGTAGTACATTACCCCCACTATTTCTCGTTTTAAATGGAAATCGTGTCTCAAAGAAATCAGCATCAATGAATTCTATTATAGTACGAGCATTCAAATCATAGAATCTATATGCCTTACTATTGGCCGCATAGCCAACGAAGACACATTCATATGCTCGACTAGCCAATTTAATCCTCTTAGGATCCGGAATTCTTACGTAGGCCAAACAGCCCCACGTTCTTAAATAGGATAGATTAGGTGGCTTATTCTTCAAGATCTCATAGGGTGATTCTTTTCTATTTGTTTTTGGAAGACGGTTTAGCACATAGCAAACTGTCAACAAAATATCACCCCACCAAGAAGAAGCAGCTCCAGAATTGAGCATAATAGCCACAACTAATTCTGTAAACGTCCTATTTTTCCGCTCAGCTTTACCATTCATTTCTGGTGAATATGGTGTCGTGGTTTCATGAACGATACCATGTGAGCTATATAATTCCTTGAAGGGATTAGAGTCATACTCTGATCCTCTATCACTCCTAAGTCTTTTTATCTTTCGATTGCACTGATTTTCAAATTCAACCACAAATACCTTGAACATATCAAAGGCTTCACTTTTGTTTTTCATCAAATAAACAAAGCAATAATCAGAGCAATCATCTATGAAAGTGATAAAGTATCTCTTGCCAGACCTAGTTAACGTCCCATCTAGTTCACAAATATCAGAATGAATCAGATCTAAGGGTTCTGATTCTCTACTCACAGATTTATGGGCGTTTTCGTTATTTTAGCTTGGCTACAGAAATCACATTTATCAAATTCATTCATTGAGAGTTTAGGGATATGTCCTAGCTTGCTTAAATTCTTCACAATTCGTGTGTTCACATGACAAAGACGAGCATGCCAAACATTCAAATCACACACCATGTAAACTGAAGAATTCATCTTATTAATTTCGACATTCAACTTGAACATCCCATTACATGCATATCCCTTTCCCACAAAACTCTCATTCTTAGTAAGGGTATACAAGTCTGCCCCAATAGTTTGATTAAACCCAGCCTTATTAAGAAGATATCCCGAAACAAGATTCTCCCTTATCTCTGGAGTGTGCAACACATCCTTGAGCACCATCTTCTTCCTAGAGGTGAAGTTCAGCTCCACTTCACCAGAACCAGCAACCATAGTGGTGTGAGTAGTCCCCAACAACACTTTCTTGTCAGCAGGTGCTTCTGTGTATGTGTTAAACATAGCACGATTGTTGCATACATGCTTCGATGCATCTGTATCCAGCCACCATCCTTCTGAGTCACTGGTGAGGTTAACTTCAGCGATCATATCTGTGATCATGGCTATCGAATCCTCTTCTGTCAAGTTAACCCTGGCTGCAGCGGCAGGGTTTTGCTTGTTCCGGCACTTTTTTGCCATATGACCCGGTTTTCCACAGTTATAGCATATAAACGGTGGGTCATTCTTAGAGGTTTGGGCCATGACCCTTTGGTTACCTCGAGAGGCACCATTCTGGTGGGGGCGGACCTGCTGGTTCTTACTCTTAAACCCTTTCTGGTTAGGTTTAAGAGCTCTAGGGGTGGGTCGTTTAGCAGTGACGACCATCACCTCTTCTTTCATATCCTGCTTGCGGGACTCTTCCTCAATCCTTAGGCGAGTAATCAAGCTTTCCAGTGAAAATTCTTTGGTTTTGTGCCTAAGCATATCCTTAAAATCTTTCCACGAAGGGGGCAGCTTATCAATAATGCAAGCAACTTGAAATTGATCGTCCAGAGGCATACCTTCAGAGACGATCTCATGAGCTATTTTCTGAAGTTCGTGGGACTGAACTTCGGCGGACTTGTCATCCACCATCTGGTAGCGCAGGTAGCGGCTGACAGCATACTTCTTAGCTCCAGCCTCCTCCGTGTCGTACTTCTTTTGGAGCGCATCCCAGATCATCATCGCGGTGTTCTTACTGTCTGCATAGTAGTCGTAGAGATCGTCTGCCAGGCCGTTGAGGATGTAGTTCTTGCACAGGAAGTCATGCTCCCTTTCTCTGGCAGAAGCAACCCTCTCCTCATCGGTCGCTTCTTCCGGCAGCTCGACGGGCATGCTGGTGAGGCAGTGTGCCAACTTTTTGGTCGTCAGGTAGAACTCCATCTTTTGTCTCCAGCGACGGAAGTTGACACCAACGAAGCGAAAGGATCGATTGATATCGACAGCACCAGATCCGGCCATGTTGTTCTGTTCAGTCGACATAGCAGCAGCCGAACGTCTTAAAATTGTTAGGAACGGAACAACAAGAAGAACGAGTTTACCGAATCTGGAGCTAAGTCGGGGACTAGGTCGCTCTCTTTAAGACGCTCGCGGCACTGCCTTCGATGCGCACAGCAGACTATCAACCGGTCGTCTCCAGGATAAAACAGCTCCTCTCAATACTCGCGGTTTTGTGCGAAAACGGAGCTCTCATAACACTCTCTCTATTGTGTTTATGCTCGTTGTGATGTGTTTAGAGGGGCTGGGGAGGCGGCTATTTATAGGAGCCGAACCCCTAGGAATATACCCTCTTGCTTGGGGAATAAGTCGGATTAATTAAGAAAGATAATTACTTCCTTAATTAAAACCGTCGATTAAGATAAACCTGGAGGGATTATCCTTCGAATATTCCTTTTTTCAGTCGATTATCCTTAGAATATTCCTCAGAATAATCGATTAATAATTAATTATTAGATGATTAATAATTAATTATTAGATAATTAATTTCGTTCGGAATTTCTGCAAAAAATATATATGTAGTCTCAAGTGAACCAACCAACCAACCAACCAACCGACCGGCAGGTCGGACGGACGGCGCGCGCGTGTGTGTGGTGGTCCGTTAGGTCCTCCCTCTCCCACAAAAGTGGGTCACCCCAAGGGGCATGCCCTTAGGAGAGAGGCTCCTATCTTTATACCCATTTCACCAAGTAAAACTACCAATGTGGTAGTTTTTTCACTTGAGACTCTATAGCTTTCAAAGCTATTCATATACATTTCCAACAGTAAGTGCTGTTTACCGAGTGAGAGCACATCGGCATGATATGAAATCCAAAAGATGGAATAGAGAGCACTTGTGTATGTGATGCAAGTGAACGTGTACAAAAAAGTTGTCGTAAAGTTTCATTGTTCGTTCCGTCGTCGACCCTATCTATGTTTCTATGATGTCACAAGAACACGCTTATTCTTCAGCCGTAGAGAGACTTTTGAATTACGAGGTACCATTACGAGCTCAATTTATACGAGTGTTATTCCGTGAAATAACTCGAATTTCAAATCATTCACTTGCTTTAACTACTCATGCTATGGATGTGGGAGCATCAACTCCGTTCCTGTGGGCTTTTGAAGAGCGGGAGAAATTGTTGGAATTCTATGAAAGAGTCTCGGGAGCCAGGATGCATGTCAGTTTCATACGACCAGGTGGAGGAGGCAGACTATAGGAGGAGGAACGAAAAGTGGGAGAGGAATCGCTCGATGATTCTCCCTGTCGTCGTCGTCACCGTCGCAACAAGAGGAGGAGTCGCTGCCGCCAGGGAGGCCTTTGTTCGCCACCGCAACCTAGGCTTGAGCCTACTCAATCTGACCTACATAAAAAATGAATCCAAAGATTGCAGATTAAGAGTCCGCCTCTCAATGGATTTTTATTTTGGGTAGAAGAATCAAAGAAGAGGTGAAGAAGATGAAAAGAGGAAGAAGAAAAGGCGAGAGGAGAGAAAAGGGAGGCGAGGGGCATAATCGGTCTATCTTTAATGCAAAACACGTTGAAACGAGTTATTTCCAAATAACCCATACCCAAATAACCCATGTCCAAATTGTAAATCCAAACAAGTTATTTAGATACAAATAACTCATCACAATAACCAACCAAAACGACCCCTAAACTAGAGAATGAGTGCATATTTATAGGCACAAAACACCCCCCAAAATTCTTCTCCTTCTCACTTTGGTTCGGCCACCCTTCTTCCCTTTCCTACCCAAAATATGACAACTTCTCCTATAAGTACACTATAAATAATTTCTAAACAAATGACAATATTAATATCCCAAATAATAATTAAATACAATATAATTAATTAAACTACTAAAAATAAATGAGCCCAATAATTGTCGAATTATAATGATAGCTCATCTTGCAACAAGCAAGCATGTTGAAGGAGCTAATCTCGTGTGGAGGCATCTCGCTAGATTGGAGGAGTTCGTAACAGAAATAAGGAAGGGTGATTCGGGCCTAATTGCACATGTTTTGTCCCCGTTTTACATAGATGTTTGTGTTAAATTCGCTCCTAAAAGGTTGATTTTACGCTAGGTTCTTCGTGTTTGAGTGTGTTTCGGGATTTAATAGGTGAAACCAGCCTCGGATTCGAAAGATTGGCGAAAAGGATCGAAACTGGGAGAATAGGTGAAAAGAGCCAGTTCACGGCTAACTGACGGAGTTCACGGTCATGCAAGACTGTGAGGAAGAAGAGTTGACCGTGAATCGCGAGACGTCTAGAGCCAATGTGAAGGTTACTGACGCAAGGTGAGTTCATGGTCAGTAAGACCGTGAACAGACGTGAGCGATGCAGTGCGTTTTGGCGCACGCTTGGAGTTCACGGACACGTTTCACGGTTCACGACCGTGAACTTATGCCGTGAACTCAGCTCATCTCGGGTTTAAAAGTTGAGCTGAAAGGAGGAGAGAGGGGGAGAGCCCACTTTTGTGTGAAACACCTTCTTTAGCATTCTAGTGAGAGAAACAGAACCAAAGGGAAGAAGAAGGTTAGGGTTTGGCTTCAAGGCATATTTTGGGAAGATTTCCCCAAAGGAAAGCTCAACTCAAGGGTCAAGAAGACTGAGAGCATCCTCAAAGATGGTTTCCACCTTTTTCCCTTTTGTTTTTCCCACTTCTAGCATGGATACCTCATTTCACTTGGGTGTAGTGAAACCTTAACTCTACCATGTAGTTTTCTTGTATGTGTTTTGGATGATTTTCATTGGGTATTGTTCAATTCAATGATTGAGGCATTATTTATCATGATTGTGCATACTTGTGCTCAGCAATCTAGGGGTTGTGCATGTTTTGTGCTTAGCATCCTTAGGTTTATGCATTTAGGTTCTTAGCAACCTAAAAATTGTGCATAATTTTGCTTAGCACCCCTAGGTTTGTGCATTTAGGTGCTAGTTATCTAATTTGCCACCTTAGCCTTAGCTTAGAGAGGAAAATCCCCCTTTCAAGGGAGACTCCATCTAGTTGGTTTTCCTTCCTCTTTCTAAGCCACCTAAACTAGGTTAAGTTAAGGCAACCCTCAATACTGAGTTAAGAAAGTCAATTAATTGTGATTAAACCGTCCGACCTTAGACTTGAGTGAGGGAGTAAGTCAATTACCGATTGTCTAAACCGAGAGGGTCGAGTGACACGGCCTTTCATCCCTACCTCAGTTTAGCAATTGAGATGCGGTCTCCAGCCACATATGCATCCCTCTGCGGTTCGCGATTATCGTGCCCAAAGGCATCGTTCCAATTCACATAGCATGGTAGATGTTAGGGGAAAGCGACACCTGAGTGACTTTCCCACAAAAGAGTTTTCAAACCCAATCACCTTTGCTTTCTTTTATTTCAATTAGCAAACCTTTAAACCCAAGTTTTGTTGCTAGATAATGATTTCAACAACTGAAGTAGGGGTAGACGGACCGACCCGGGTCGATATCTAAATACTTGCCCTATACTGCACCCGATTAGAGTTTAAAAACTTGGCCTCTAAATGGGGTTTTATTGTGGTGTAGTTTCGTGCGAGTCAACTGGTGAAGATTGAACGTATTATTTTACCGTCTCTTGCACATGTTCCTTCAACACACCCTACACATTTTACCGCTTTTGTAATTGGCGAAGTTTGGTCAGGTGTGGTGTTTTTAAAACTAGGTTTGCTATCCATCGACTCACATAAAAAACAAAATAAAATCAAATTTCCAGTATAACTCTCTCTATACCTTTCGAACACACATTTCTATTGTGAAATGGTTCAATAGACAATGTTTAATACTATTATGTGAGAAATCCATAATGTCATTCCTCGTACCCTTAACTATCTATTTATGATCCCAAATTACTAAAAAGACTTTGGTGCTAGTATAAGGTAATCCTAGTGTTGTTCAAACCAAGTGGTTACAATATATAGTAACCATTTTAAATGGTAGTATATATATATAATTTGGTTAACCTATTCACCAAACTGAGTAAATATTAATTTGGTTGTTATATTAGTTTGGCCAATTTGATTATGAGGAATTTTACAATGCTATATAGTATTGGTGCTATAGGTTTTTGCCTTTATGGTACAACTTAAAATTGTACATTTATGTTATGGTACAATTTCAGATTGTACCTATACTGTTTGTACAAATTCTTTTATGGTACAACTTAAACTTGTACCTTTATGTGATGGTACAACTTCAAGTTGTAAAGTTGTACCATAACATAATGGTACAAATTCTTTTATGGTACAATCTAAACTTATACATTTCATGTTATGGTACAACTTTAAGTTGTACATTAAAGCACCAATACTATATAGCATAGTAGAAATGCTCTTTGATTATAATATTCCATTTCATGGTTAATAACATTTAAACATAATTGATTTGGTTATTACCATGGTAACAATTTGAACTTAAACTCTAAACAAAGTTCATTGTTTTCTAGCTCGAACTGGAATCATTTTGCAATAGTTACTGGGCTGGTTGCCCTACACTCGTTCATTAAAGCGAAAAAGACAGGTGAGATCGAGGTCTTTAATCCTGGCTCTTATATCCGACCTACGTAGATGGACGCAAGGTACATTCTTTGAACTTCTGTCCATACAGCACCTGGAAGCCTAACAAACATTGACCTAATTAATTAATGTCTCCAACTGCTCCGAAGTTAGAAGTGGTAACATGACTTGGGCAATTGGACTTGCGTCGCAACTGGGTTCAAGCAATTCATAGGAAAAGTTGGACCCGGCAAAACATGACCTTGTCACTTGTCAGTCATCTTAGAACCACCTGCTTCCCATCCCTGTTCCTTCCAGAGGCGCTTTGGCTTCCCCATCCATGTATCCAACATCATCAATGATCCCAAGTCTTCACCAAATCCTAGGGTGCATCCGTAGAAATGGTAAATTAATCAGAATTAATCAATAATTATAAGTTTTAACCATTCAAACAAGACCAGGCTGCTGTATGATATTGAGATACAACATGAGACCACTTCAACCCTTTAATTATACAGCAGCTATATAAGTAGCTAGCAGTCTGGGTATAGGATATATATCTCACCCTTAATTCCTCAGCAAAAGCACAAACAATTCATCAAACTGAGATATCCTCATTTACAGTTACCACTGTTAGCTCCAAAATACGTAGAAGCATGATGAGAGGAGCTGATCAGCTGCACTCTGTACTGGCTGTTACTTTTCTTCTCCTTGCGTCCATTGCGGCAGCATTCGATCCAAGCCCTCTTCAGGACTTCTGTGTCTCCATTGACGACCCCAAGCTCGGTGGTACGCAAATATATCCACTCCTCAGCCTTGAGCAAATTAATTTCTTGTTTGACTATGCATGATAAAGTGCCTAATGGGAATTTCTTCTACATATGCAGTGTTTGTGAATGGCAAGTTCTGCAAGGACCCAATGCAAGCCAATGCCGACGACTTCACATTTCGTGGCCTCAACTTGCCCGGAAACACATCCAATCCGGTTGGCTCAAACGTCACTTTGGTTAATGTCGACCGATTGAAAGGGCTCAACACTCTTGGCATCTCTTTGGCTCGTATCGACTATGCCCCTTATGGTGGTCTGAACCCTCCTCACACCCACCCTCGTGCCACCGAAATTCTTGTGGTGGTCAAGGGCTCTCTCCATGTCGGGTTTGTCACCTCCAACCCTCCCAAGCTCTTCACAAAAACCCTACACGTTGGAGATGTTTTCGTCTTCCCAATCGGTCTCATTCACTTCCAATTAAACGTGGCCAATACCAACGCTATTGCTTTTGCCGGATTGAGCAGCCAGAATCCAGGCACAATTACTATTGCCAATGCGGTTTTTGGTTCCGATCCCGCTATCAATCCTGATGTTCTCACCAAGGCATTCCAAGTGGACAAAAACTTGGTGGATTACCTCCAAAAGCAGTTCTGGCCTGAAAATTAATAGATAAATCACGAGGCGCCATGCTACTACATAAGCTAGAGCTTGTCATTTTACATTTGTTGTGTATGACTTATTATTGTTTTTTTTTTCTTAGCACCCACTTTGCTTTGTGGCTATTATTTCTTTTGTACGCTTACAATAACGGATTATAAAATAAATAAAAGGCTATAATAGTGTCCAAATTTGTCATTAAGTTTTTTACATGAATTTGTTTTATTAAGTATAGCATTGAGTGGCAAAAAATGGCATGTTTCGTCAAGTGATTGCCAAAATTAGTGATAAAGAATTAACATAAGTAATTCCTTGAACTTATCTTGTCAGATCATTAAAGTTTTGTGAACATACCTGGAGATCATTTCGATGCGGAAACCGTAGGACGATCTATGACCTGACGATACTGACAACAGCACGACCCGAGAAGTATTTGCAGTCTTCCTCAACCAAGCCGCATCGGTTCCTCTATGGGATTCTTTGATCTTCCCGATGGAGAGAAAAAGAGAGTGTGTTTTGAGAATCACAACCTCAAACTCTTTATATACTAATCATCATAGGCTCCCATAAAATCCAAGATGACTAAGTATTGTGTTTCCACCCATTGGACCCATATTGGGCTTGAGTAATCATGCGCCACATAAAATTAATCACTTGTGATTAGTCCATCTTAATCAAATAGTCATATAATGTGTTGTGAATTGACAGCCCACTTAAGTTATGAAATGTAATTCCTAAGAATCTCCCACTTGGGCTCACTAATTTTCACAACGACTACTCTTTGACAATCTGGTCCACCTCATGTATCAATTATGGGAACAATGCGACTTTAATCACGATATGATAATGATTAAACCACCATGATCACCACACCAATACAATCAATGAAATAGATCAAATATGGATGAGGGCGTGAAAATTACATGCAATGTGATCGTGACCATGCATATTTTCAATTGGTCCAACTTTAGTACTTAGTGAGATCAACTGAAATTTATTCATACAATGTGACCACTGTATAACTAAATGGAATTTAAATTTCAAAATAGACTATCGAAAACCATCATTTTATTCTACATAAATTGATTTAGTCATAACTATTGAACATACTTAAATGACTCCCACTAAACCAATGTATCATTCGAAATAACACTCATGCGGGCAATATGCTCATGGAAAATCTTTACGTGTCAAACTATTGGCTAATGGATAAGCTAGCAATAGTCATTTCATTAACGTTCGATAGAAACTTGTCTATTTTGAACTTTATCTTTATCATCTTTAGTAAACGCATTACACGTTTAATTCTTTATAGTGTTGCATACATAGATTATTCAAATATCTGCCAAATACTCTTAACCACAAATGCTATACTGGGATGAGAATTAACTAAACTGGTTGAGACTCTACTGTCTCCTTTAGCTATAATACATATCCTGATTTTCAAACTTTCATGTGAAGTCTACTTAAACTTTATCGATATCTCTTTTGAAATGTAGTATACATTCAGAATTTATCTCTTAGTATTTCGTTTTAGAAACTATTGATCTCGTGCATTAAGCATATATCTCTACTTGAAAGTAGAACATCAATACTGTATATAAAACAGGAAAATAAATTTACTCCCACTGAACTTAAGATATACACAATCATCTGCAACATTAGACTCTAAATCTGAATGAGCTAATAACGAGATGAAATTTTTTATATCAATAATGAGATTCTTATATGAGCCACCATTGCCATTATACTTCTAAAAGAGTCTTTCAAATATACTATAGAGAAAGTCTCTTTGAGTCAATGCTTTCCTTATGAGTAAAGCCTTTAGCGACCAACATGCCTTATATCTCTTATTGACTTCAGCACATGACATTAATCCACTTTTCACAACTATTCATGACCTAACTAAAAATGAATTATTAGTCAAACTAATGTCATATATATATATATATGATGACTTCTACGGTACCCCGGATGAAATCCGGGGTACCGCATATCTTGAGTATGAAAACGCTATCTATACCTCGAATTAGCATGATTTTTGGGCAGTATACTATACCCTAACCCTTAATGAGTGAACCCTAGGTCCTAATTATCTAAATCATAAACTATAAACCCTAAGATGGTGCTTTCCTTTTTGTGCCTATATTTGGACGAATCGTAACCGTCGATTATTGTTTCTAATTAAATTGATCTTGGAGTATAAGATTGGGAGAATTAAGACGTAGATTTTGATCTCTAAGGGTTAGAGTATAGTATCATGTCCAAAAGATCGATCAATTCAAGGTCTAGATAGTGTTTTCATACTCAAGGTATGTGGTACCCCGGATTTTACCCAGGGTACCGTAGAACTCGCCATATATATATATATATATATATGGTGCCTTCTACGGTATCCCATGAAATCCGAGATACCGCATACCTTTGCGTAAGAAAACGCTATCTAGAACTCGAATTAACAGGATTTTTGGGAATGATACTATACCCTAACCCTTAATGAGTGAACCCTATGTCCTAATTACCTATATCATAAACTATAAACCCTAAGATCATTGATTTTTTTGCCCATATTTGGACGAATCATAACCGTTGCCTATTGTTTCTAATTAAATTGATCTTGAGGTATAAGATTAGGAGAATTAATACCTAGATTTTGATCCCTAAGGGTTAGAGTATAGTATCATGTCCGAAAGATCGGTCAATTCAAGTCCCCTGGATAGCGGATTTCCCTTTGGGTACTGTAGAACCACACACACACACACACACACACACACACACACACACAACACACACACACGCACACACGCACACACACACACACACACACACACACACACACATATATATATATATATGACACGCTATGACTGACACACACACACACACACACACACACACACACACACACACACACACACACACACATATATATGACACGCTATGACACAACACCTGACAATGGCCAAGTGTAACCAATGGAAGGGACTAACACACACACACACCCATATATATATGACACGCTATGACACAACACCTGACAATGGCCAAGTGTAACCAATGGAAGGGACTAACACACACACACACACCCATATATATATGACACGCTATGACACAACACCTGACAATGGCCAAGTGTAACCAATGGAAGGGACTATAGTATAGTGGCTCAAGTAATAAATATCGAATCCACGGGTCTCTAGAGTTACTATTACTCAGCTTCAGTTCATTATCTAGCAAACCAGATTAAGATGAAAGAACTAACACTACTCTAGCTATAGTTAAAGTTAATCTAATTACAGGTTGGGAACTCACTTAGGTATGATTCCCCCTAGACACTAGCCAGACTAACGATTGATGATTTCTTACTCAAGGTATGCGGTACCCCGGATTTCACCCTGGGTACCGTAAAACTCCCCATATACTTCTTGAGTGTGTTGAGTTTGTGCAGTAATTAGATTCCTTAATGTTTTCTTGCCCCCAAAACTCAACGTACTCAAGAAAATCTCACATTTCTCATTTTTTAAATAACATTTTTTGTTGTGGGAATATAAAATTTGTAAACTTGAGAGTACTTTCGAGTAACCTAGAAAATACAAGTTAATTGTACCATTGTGTCCAATACCTTATTGATCCTTACAAGGTATTTCCAAATTTGGACAACTCTAAATGTGCAAGTGCCTTATTACACATACGGGTTCCATTAACTACTTTTCTGGATACTCAATTTAAGGATGTACGTTGTAACTCTTGTGACTTTTATCCAAATGAAGTCTAGTAAGTGTAAATGCATAATTATACTCCTCGCCATATCCATAAAATTTCAACAAACCACAACATCCTTGACTCTCTAATTTTTTTCTCCTTCTTTACTAAGAATTTTGAAGTTAAGTGAACGAGCACAATCTTATCTCGAAGCTTCCCTCCTCTTCTTTTGTGAGTATTAGTACTCGCCTAAAACTTTATGGAGGAAGATAAATTAAACCACGTGCTGAGTATGTCTTTTGACAACTCTAACTGTAGTCACTTGACTTTAATTTGAAATAAGACACATCCAAAATATAATACACTTGAACATTTTGCCTAACACTTTAAGGAATCAAATTGCCCTTATAAGCAACTTATTACGGATCTTGTCATGTTTGGAAAAATATAGTACGAGTGCCACAAGGTACTCTTTAGTTGTCTTAGTAAAAGAGTCTAAATTATTCATCGAATAGAGTGCTTAATAATCATCAAGCACACTCAATTGGATCAATCCATACTTTTCATTATTAAATCTCATTGAGATTTACCAGAGTAGAATATGGGTTGTTCCACTTAAAAGTGCAAGATCAAAGCCTATATCGAGAATAATGTCCATAATTGTCTTAAAAAACTTTATATTCATCCCATTCGACAAAGAGTTAACTTTAATTTTTGCAGAAATATTTAATCCAAAGCAGGAAAACTATATGAATATAAAAGAAAACACACAACATGCAATGTCAGGTAACAAGACAAGATAATTATCCAATTTCGGGGACCCGTCATAAGATACCAAATGCAACATTAATTCTTAGTCTTTGGACAAATAAATTAACTGCGAGCGGTACTCTTAATACAATGATCAAATACTGATAATAACTTCTGTCAAATAACAGTCGACCTTTGGGCTGACTGTTATTTACATGAACAATAGCTCTATAATTATCACGTAATTACCATTAATGTGCTTGATTATTTTGGTCAGATAGTGTCGTCCTTTGGGTCGAGCACTACCCACATAAAATAACCTTACACGTACATCCATATATTTGAATTTTAAATAATTCTCGCAAATAGAGGTTACTTTGGCAACATACTGCTAAAATTAATTTAATTAAAATACTGGACAATTCTCTCATAATCTTAAAATATTAATAAGTGATTAATTACCATTAAGAGAGAATGACAATAATAATTTAAATAAAGGTTTATTCCATCTAAGGACACCATGCACTCCATTAATATTTTATCTTTGGACAAAATATTAACTTGTAAGTGATGTCTTATGATGACAAGAACATGTGAAATAGTAAATCTACCTTTGGGCCGATTTAAAATTCACATGTGAACCGATTAATGATCACACATTTATGACTATATGCGCGTATATGAATCTTTAAATATTCACCTACCTTTGGGCCAGTGAATACATACACAATTTACACGCGCTAAAATATAAACCTTTACTGTATGGGGATTAAAATTGTCTTATCAAGCATTATAAAAAAAAAAATTGTCTTATCAAGCCCCAAATATTAGATTACAGAAATGAGGCTTCTGTGCGTCAAAAAATTAGTCTTGTTTAAAATAAAACTACGAGGCATGAGTTGCACAAAGTGAGTGCATACTTATAATTATGTACGGTAAACAATAATTGTAACCCATAATGGTAGTTATTATCACCAAAAGATAATTATCATGACCAGGGATAATTGTTATAACAAAAAAAAAATATATTATTATTATTATTAGAACCCGTAGCCATTGCCAAGAGACATTGAACCTTTATTACTATAACGGGTAATTAAACATTGCTGCTTAGCCCTAGCGAAAGCTTGGAAATTACGTAAGAGTTTCCATATTACAGAGCTAGGAAATATGTTATTTGCTTTTCAATTTCTGGATATGGATGATAGGAATAAGGTCTGTTATGGTGGACCTTGGCACTACGAAAATTCTCTCATTGTTTTTAAGGCGAGCACAACAATTTAGAAACCTAAACCTGAGGACTTACACATGATTGATTTATGGATACGTATAGAGGGTTTCCCCGCAGAAGTGCGTACACAGAAGATGGCAGAAAAGATTGCAACAAGATTTAAAGGCTTAGACTGGTTTGATAACGATTCAAGCACAATGTGGGAAGACTATATGCGACTGAGGGTATATCTCTCAATCAACAATCCACTGAAAAAGAAGTTAAAGCTTAATATTGCAGGTAAACTGATGGAATACCAGTGAAGTATGAGAAACTCCCTATGTTCTGCTACTCCTATGGCAGAATAGGGCACCTTAAGCTCAAAATCAAACTGGAGCCAAAGCCAGAAGTGGATCCCTATGGCTATGAGCTAAGGGTAGCAGCCCCAGGGGCAAAGAATCGGCTCTCCTACACTGCTATAAAAGAAGAATCTGAAGTGTGGGCTGCACTAAGGCAAAAATTTGAAATGAAGAGTATCGGATCAAACTCTGATCATGACATGGCTCTCGAACAGAAGGAAACTAGACTCAATGAAGAGCAGACCCTGCCTCAACAGAGCTAGGAGATATGTTATTTGCTTTTCAATTTCTGGATATGGATGACAGGAATAAGGTCTGCTATGGTGGACCTTGGCACTACGAAAATTCTCTCATTGTGTTTAAGGCGAGCACAACAATTCAGAAACCTAAACATGAGGACTTACACATGATTGATTTATGGATACGTATAGAGGGTTTCCCCCGCAGAACTGCGTACATAGAAGATGGCAGAAACGATTGCAACAAGATTTGAAGTCTTAGACTGGTTTGATAACGGTTCAAGCACAATGTGGGAAGACTATATGCGACTAAGGGTATATCTCTCAATTAACAATCCACTGAAAAAGAAGTTAAAGCTTAATATTGCAGGTAAACTGATGGAAGTGAAGTATCAGAAACTCCCTATGTTCTGCTACTCCTATGGCAGAATAGGGCACCTTAAGCTCAAAATCAAACTGGAGCCAAAGCCAGAAGTGGATCCCTATGGCTATGAGCTAAGGGTAGCAGCCCCAGGGCCAAAGAATTGGCTCTCCTACACTGCTAAAAAAGAAGAATCTGAAGTGTGGACTGCACTAAGGCAAAAATTTGAAATGAAGAGTATCAGATCAAACTCTAATCATGACATGGCTCTCGAACAGAAGGAAACTAGACTCAATGAAGAGCAGACCATGCCTCAACAGAGGGTCGAGGGAAAGAAACAAATTCAACAGATTCCACTAGCTGAGAAGCCACAACAGCCCCCAGAGATACAACAACCACCCATTCAAACAGTGAAGCATCATGAGAAGAAGGGGGAATAATACACTGGGGATCTACAGAAATTTGTGATGGGTAGCGTGGAAGGAAAGATACCTGGAAGGAACATTGGCAAAGTGTGGAGGAGGAGAGAAACTGGACAGAAAAAACCAAGTACATGAGTGCAGTTTACTCCACAGAAAAGGCAGGCTACATCTCTCAAAGAAGGTGATCTTGCAGAGCAAACACAAGAGGAAGTTATGAAGAAAGCTAGAAAGATGCACTTCTCTGAATAGGAGAAACATATAACACAGCTTAATAACAAAAACTTGGATGGTGGTGTGGCGGAGCTTGCAAAAGAGCAGGCTCGCGCAGCTCAATGAGTTATTTAAGCTATAATTGTCGGGGTTTGGGAAGTCCCCTGGCAATTAAAAAGCTGGATCGACTGATCCAAAATGAAAACCTCAAAGTGGTCTTTATTATGGAAACCAAAAAGCATAAAAAAGAGTGGGAGGAAATAGTGCATCGTTTTCAATGCTACAAGGGCTTTGGTGTGGGTTCTAAGAGAAGAACTGGAGGAGTGCTAGTTCGATGGCAAGAGGATGTCAACCTGGAAGTAAAGGGATATGATGAGAACTATATAGACATGAAGATAGAGGACGAGGGCAGTGTATGGAGATTAATGGGTTTTTATGGATGGCCAGAACAAGGTAAAAAGCATATGGCTTGGGATCTACTCGGGCATTTGAAAACTTTAACAGACCTGCCTTGGATGTGCTGCGGGGACTTCAATCTGATTCAGCACTATGCTGAGAAGAAAGGGAAACAGCCAACAAATGGATATGAAATGGAGGGTTTCAATAGAGCCCTAGCAGACTGTCAGTTGGAAGATCTAGGTTTTTATGGAAAACCTTTCACTTGGGATAACAATTAATAATCACAAAGATGACACCTACTTAGAAGAAAGGCTTGATAGAATGGTGGCCACAGATACATAGAGGGAACTATACTTTGAAGTTGGAGTGTACCATCTTAGGCGTTGTGGCTCTAATCACAACCCCATCCTACAGAAAACAAATGTTCTAGTGAAGTATGAGAGATGGGGTAGATATTTCAAATTTGAGGCTTTCTGGCAGGACCATGAGGAGTGCAAATAAGTCATTCAAGATAGTTGGGAAATAGGTGGTTCTGGCTCAGTAGCAGGAAGGATTAGAACTTGTGAAGAGAGGCTTAGAAGCTGGAGCAAGCATACTTTTGGTAGTCTAAAATCAAGGAGAATTAAGACTGCGAAATCACTAGAGAAGATCGACAGAATGACCACGACTGAGGCGATTGTGGCTCAAAGAAGAGTGCTTGAGAATGAATTGGAAGCCATTCTCATTCAGGAGGAATTGATTTGGAAACAGAGATCCATAACTGAATTGCAGAAACATGGAGACAAAAACACAAAATTCTTCCATCGACGAGCATCAGATAGGAGAGCAAAGAACAAGATAAAAAAAAAACTCAAGGATGAGGATGGAAGGGTCTGTGTAGGACAAGATGAAGTGGCTCGCTGCGTAGTAAACTTCTTAAAGAAGTTATACACTGTTGGGGCAAGGTCAAGTTCTAGTTTTGTGATAGATGCAGTGCCACAGAAGGTAACTACAGCTATGAATGAAGAACTGCTAAAGCTACTAACGAGAGAAGAAATCGGGTCAGCTCTAAAAGCACTGGGACCGTTGAAAGCCCTTAGGGATGATGGGATGCCAACTCTCTTTTTTCAGAGGAATTGGAATATAATGGGGGATGTGATCACCACTGAACTGCAAGGATATTTTGAAGCGGCCAGTTTCCCACAGGAGTTGAATCACACTATTATAGCTCTCATACCAAAGAGGAAAACCCCCCAAACCCCTGTGGACTTCCGTCCTATTAGTCTATGCAAAGTACTTTATAAAAAATTTTCTAAAGTAGTTGCTAATAGATTGAAAGGGGTGTTAAATGAGGTGGTTGTACCTAACCAAAGCGCATTTGTACCAGGCAGGCTGATAACAGATAATGTTATGATAGCCTATGAGTGCTTTCCCTCAATGAAAGCAAGGAATTCGAGCAATAAAGGATTCATGGCTGCTAAACGTGATATAACTAAAGCCTACTACAGAGTGGAGTGGGAATTTCTAGAGGCTGTCATGTTAAAATTGGGATTCGACTCTAGGTGTGTGCAAATTATCATGTGTTGCATTACAACTGTGTCTTTCTCAACACTGGTAAATGGCCACCAAACTGAGACCTTCTATCCTAGCAGGGGCCTTAGACAAGGGACCCCATTTCTCCATATCTGTTCCTATTCGTGGTGGAAGGCCTCTTAGCCTTGATTACTAAAGCTGAGCGAGATAAGCATATTGAAGGCATCAGGGTGAAAAGGAATGCTCCTCGGATCACTCACTTTTTATTTATGATGACAGCGTACTTTTCACAAGGGCAAACAGGGCTGAATGTGACAAAGTAAGATCAATTCTCAGGTTATATGAAGAATCGGGCCAACAGGTTAACTTACACAAGTCTGAATTGTCATTCAGTCCTAATGTAGGATAAGGAAAAAGAAGGGAGCTAGCTAAAAGGCTAAACATGAGAATCGTGGAGCATGAACAGAAGTACCTAGGTCTAACTAGAGTCATAGGTCGATCGAAGAAAAAGGTCTTTGGGTATTTGGTAGACAGAGCCAAAACTAAAGTGAAAATATGGATAGAGAAACTACTATCTGTGGTTGGGAAAGAGTTTCTAATCAAATATATTGCCCAGGCTCAACTGACATATGCAATGTTAGTCTTTCAGCTTCCTTCTAGCATCCTAAAGGAAACGAAAAGAGCTATTGCTCAATTCTGGTGGGGGCAGCAACAGGAAGAAGGAAGAACTCACTGCTGAACTAGAAGGAGCTTTGCAAACCGAAAAAACTGGGGGGGGGGGGGGGGGGGGGGGGGGGGGGATGGGTTTCAGAAATCTACAGAGCTTCAAACTTACTCTATTGGGCAAGCAACTTTCGAGGCTAATTCAATTCCCTGACTCTCTAGTTGCACGAGTAATGAAGGCAAAGTATTTCAAGGATCGAGACCCTCTCGAGGCTGAAATTGGTAGGAACCCTAGATGGGTTTGGTGTGGTCTAATGGCTGCTAAGGATTTGGTTAAACGAGGTTTGAGGTAGAGAGTGGGTAATGGCAACAAGATTGATATCTGGCTTGACAGGTGGATACCTTCCACTACCACTTTCAAAGTAACCTCCCCAACAGTTCATTGGGGTAATTCAACCTTAGTAGCAGAGCTGGTTGACATTGAGACCAGAAGCTGGCGTACAGACCTACTACAGACACATTTCAACCCTACGGATCGCATCAATATACTCAAAATTCCTATACCAAGACAAAAAATCGAGGACAAGAGGATCTGGGGCAAAGAAAAATCGTGGGAGTATAGGTACATAGAAGAAGAGGGTGAGTTCTATTCACCAGATAACTAGAAGAAAGTATGGAGCCTTAAGATCCCTCCGAAGGTGAAGGTGTTTGCTTGGAGATGGCTGAGATTATACCTACAAGGGATAGAATCCTAAATCGCACACAACAAGGTAGTGAAGATTGTCCTTTCTATGGTCTCAAGGAAACTCAAGAACATATTTTTCGAGACTATGCCTGGGCTCTAAGGGTTTGGCGATATAGCTCGTTGGGTTCATACATAGATAGAGGTGATAATCTTACCTCGGATGAGTGGTTCTGTGAATTGCAGGAAACTGAATCAGACGAGATGCTCGGTTTGTTCTTGGTGGATCTCTGGTAAATCTGGGACCAGCGTAACTGTCATATGTGGAATAAGAAGAAATTAGAGGAATGGGAGATTCTGCTTAGAGCTTGGTTGCAGGATTACCTGGAAAAGCAGATGAAGCTCCAACGAACGGAGCAAAAGGAGGAGCAGTGGTGGCAACCTCTGACGATGGTGCCTATGAAGCTCAATGTTGATGTTGCATACTTCGAGGGTCAGGGAAACGGGATTGGGAGTGGTGGCTCGGGATGAATCAGGAAATTTCCTCTTTGGTGGAGTGAAAAGATCACGGTATCAATGGAACCCGGAAGAGGCAGAAGCGCTGGCTGTGGATTTTGGTTTGGAAATGGCGAGAAGACTGGGGATTGAGGAAATGGAGATTGAGTCGGACTTCCAGGGAATCATTCAGCAGCTGCGATGGGTGGAGGATAGAAACACGGAAATTGTGCTGGTTTGTACGGAAATCAGGGCCAAAGCCCAGGCTATGGGTGGTGTCAGGTGGAGCTTTGTGGCCCGAAAGAGAAACACATCATTGACTGTAGTTGGGATAGTGAAGAGGTATGGATTGATAGCCCACCTCATTTTCTTGTAGCTCTTCTAAGAGAGGATGTCTCTGAAAACTCTGGTACTTTTGTTCAAATAAATGAATGTAGTTTTCCCTAATAAAAACAACCTTGCTGCTTAGCCTTCTTACTTCTGGACTAAAGCAATACCCAAAGATAATAACCATTACAATGAATGAACTCATATTATCAATGACAACAGATGATTAATATCATCTGATCCGTAAGCCACAAATGATTAACTTTTCCGTGACACTATTTTCATTTACAGTTTTTTTACATTTATATATTATATCAAATCTAATAAGATATTAAAAAGAATGATTTCAAAACACTATTTGTTAGTGTCCCTTCAAATGAATTTTTTTAATAATTAAAAATTATTTAACATTTGATTAATATTTTAATAGCATTTATTTTGTTTATGTATTTTTCTTTCCTTTCTAAAATTCTTTCTCATGAATTCTTCCCCCGCATTCTCAATGTTGTCAACCCGGTTTAGCCTGTTGGCCTGGTCAAGCAAGTGGGATGAGGGTTAATGGTTGACCGTGTTAGCCCATTTTACCCAAATATTGTTCATTATATTGCTCATACATTTATATATTATATCAAATCTCATCTAAAATGTGAGTAACATCAATATCAATATTCAGAGGTTCAACTTAAAATTCCAAAGATATGGTTAGACAAAGAGAAAAACTGGAAAAGAGACAAATTTCATAAAAGAAAGTAAAAAACAACGTTGTATTTTCTCCAATTCGGTAACCTTGGAGCGGGTTGACCCAACGGGTGTGTGGCCCATTTTTCTCAGCGGATCAAGGTCAAAACAGGTCACCGGTCAACCCGCTGGTTGACAACCTTTCCCATATCAAGTATCTCTCTCTCTCTCTCTCTCTCCCCCCCCCCCCCCCCTTTTTCTATCCTTTCCCCATAAAACTCTTTCTCTCCTCATTCTCTATTCTCTTCCCATCCACCCAACTCTTCCTTTAAAACCTATTTCTAGGGATGGCAACGGGTCAGGTTAGGGGCTGATAGTGCATATCTGTTATCCTACTCAAAGTAGTTCGTGTTTTACTAATACTCATACCCAC